ATGGCCTGAGCCGAAGGCAGTCGCTCAACCGACTGAGCCACCCAGGCGCCCTACAAAAGCAGTTTAAAGAGGGAAGCTTATAGCAACAAACCTCTAGATAAAGAAAATAAAAAGATCTCACACAACCTAACTTCACACCTGAAGGAACTAGAAAAAGAAGAAGAAACTAAGCCCAAAGTAGAAAAAAGGAGGAGAAAACAAAGATTAGAGCATAAATAAGTGAAATAGAGACCAGAAAAACAATAGAAAATATCAGTGAAACTAAGAGCTGTTTTTTTAAAAAGATAAAATTGACAAATCTTTAGATTAAGAAAAAAATACTGATAATAAAGTCAAAAAGGAAAGAGGAGACATTACAACTGATACCACAGAAATTCATAGAATCATAAGTAACTAGTATGACCAATTACATGCAAACAAATTAGATATCCCAAGAAGAAAGGGATAAATTTCTAGAAACAAACAACCTACCAAGACTGAATCAGAAAGAAATAGAAAATCTAAACAAACCAATAACAAATAAGGGGAAAAAAGGAAAAATAACAACAACAACCCTCTCCCCCCAAATCCAACACAGCTCAGGACCAGATGGTTTCACTAGTAATGTCTAACAAACATTTAATGAAGAATTAATACTAATCCTTCTCAAACTCTTCCAAAAGTTGAAGAGAACGGATCACTTCCAAATTCATTTTATAGGGAAGGCCAGCACTACCCTGATTCCAAAGCCAGATAGGCACACTACAATCACAGAAAACTACAGACAAATGTTATTGATGAATATGGATGCAAAAATTCTCAACAAAATATCAGCAAACCAATTTCAACAGCACTTTATAAAGATTATACACCATGACTAAGTGGGATTTATCCCTGGGATGCACAAATGATTCAACACATGCTAATCGATAAATGTGATACACCACATGAATAGAATGAAAAAGAAAAATCACACGATCATCTGAACAGAGGATCAAAAAACTTTAGAAAAAATACAACATCCTTTCATGATAAAAGCTCTCAACAAATCACATATAGATGGAATATACCTCAATATAATAGAGGCCATATACCTCAAACCCACAGCTACCATACTCAATGGTGAAAGGTTGAAAGCTTATCCTCTAAGATGAGGAATAAAACAATGTACCCCCTCTCACCATTCCTATTCAACATAATGCTGGAACACTCAGGTAAGATAAAGAAATAAAAGACACCAGATCAGAGAAGAAGTTTGTCTTTGTTTGCAGATGATATGATCTTATATACAGAAAATCCTGAAGACCCCACCAAAAAATAGTTAGAACTAATCAGTGAATTCAGTAGGGTTGCATGTTGAAGGATCAACATATAGAAATAAATTGGGTGTCTATACACTAAAAAAGGGATATCTAAAAAAGAAAGAAAGGAATTCCATTCACAATAGCATCAAAAATAAAAATACTTAGGAATAAATTTAAACAAGGAGGTAAAAGACTTGTATACTGAAAATTATGACTTTGATGAGAGAAATTGAAGACAGAAATAGATGGAAAGATATCTTGTATACATGAAATAGAATTAATATTGTTAAAATGTTCCTACTACCCAAAGACATCTATAGATTCATTGCAAGCCCAGTCAACATTCCAGTGGCATGTTTCACAGAAATAGAAATAAATAATCCTAAAATTTTGTATTGAAGCACAAAAGATGCCTAATAGCCAGAGCAATTAGAAGAAAGAAGAACAAAGCTGGAGGCATCCCACTTCCTAATTTTAGACTATCCTACAAAGCTATAAGTAATTAAAACAGTATGATCCTGACATAAAAGTAGATAAAATGGAACAAAACTGAGAGCCCAGAAATAACCCCCTGCATATATAGTCAACTAATATTTAACAAAGGAGTGAAGAGCACTCAATTGGGAAAGGAAAGTCTCTTCAAAAAATGGTGTTGGGAAAATTGGATAAACACATGCAGAAAAATGAAATTGGACCTCTGTTATGCACCACTGACAAAAATTAACTCACAATGGATTAAGAACAAACATAAAACCTGATACCATAAAACTCCTAGGAAATAACATAGGGAAGAAATTCCTTGACATTGGAATGGGCAATGATTTTTTGGATATGACACCAAAAGCACAGGCAACAAAAGCAAAAATCAACAAGTGGGATTATGTCAAACTAAAAAGCCTCTGCACATCAGCGAAAGACAAATACCATATGATTTCACTCATATGTGGGATTTAAGAAACAAAACAAATGAACATGGTGGGGGGAGAACCAAACCAAGAAACAAACTCTTAACTATAGAGAACAAACTGATGTTTGCTAGAGGGGAGGTGGGCAGGAGGGATGGGTTAAATAGGTGATGGGTATTACGGAGGGCACTTGTGATGAGCACCGGGTGTTGTATGTAAGTGATGAATCACTAAATTCTATACTTGAAACTAATATTATACAGTATGTTACTTGGAATTTAAATAAAAACTTGGAAAAAAAATTTAAAAGCTTCTGCACAGCAAAAGAAATAATTTTTTTTAATGAAAAGGCAACTTATGGAATGGGAGAAAATATTTGGAAACCATGTATCAGATAAGGAGTCAATACCCAAAATATATAAAGAATGCCTACAACTCAATAACAACAACAAAAACCAAATAATGCAATTTTTAAAAACGGGCAGAGGAACAAACAGACATTTTTCCAAAGAAGATATCCAAATGGCCAACAGGTACATAAAAAGATGCCCAACATGGCTAATTATCAGGGAAATCCAAACCAAAACCATAGTGAGATATCACCTCACACCTGTTAGAATGACTACCACAAAGAAAGCAGGAGATAACAAGTGTTGGTAAAGATGTGGAAGTAAAGGAACCCTCGTACACTGTTGGTGAGAATGTAAATTGGTTCAGCCTCTATGGAAAACAGTATAGAGGTTCCTAAAAAAAATTTAAAAATAGAATTACCATATGATACAGCAATTCTACTATATCTGGAAATATAACCAAAGGAAATGAAAATAGGAGTTTGAAGAGATACATGTACTCCCCTGTTTATTGCAGCATTATTTACAATAACCAAGATGTGGAAACAATCTACGTGTCTGTCAACGAATGAATGAATGAAGAATTTGTGATATACATACAGTGGAACATTATTCAACCATGAGAAAGAAGGAAATGCTGCTGTTTGGGACAACATGGATGGCAACCTTGAGGGCATTATGCTAAGTGAGATAGACCAGAGAAAGACAAATATTGTATGATATCTCATATGTGGAATCTAAAAAAGGCAAACTCTTAAAAGCAGAGAATAGCATGATGGTTACTACAGGGTGGTGGTGGTGGGGAATTGGGGATATGCTGTTTAAGGGTACAAATAGTAAATTAATAAATTCTATAGAGCTGGGCGCCTGGGTGGCTCAGTTGGTTAAGCGACTGCCTTCGGCTCAGGTCATGATCCTGGAGTCCTGGGATCGAGTCCCACATCGGGCTCCCTGCTCAGCGGGGAGTCTGCTTCTCCCTCTGACCCTCCCCACTCTCATGCTCTCTCTATCTCATTCTCTCTCTCAAATAAATAAATAAAATCTTTAAAAATAAAAAAAGAAATTCTATAGAGCTAATGCATAGCATATTATAGTCAACAATACTATAAACTTCAAAGTTGCTAAAAGACTAGATCTTGTTTTCACCACAAAAAAAGAAATGATTAAGGGAGGTGATAGTAGTGTTACCTGAGGCTAAGATGGTAATCATATTGGAATATGTAAATGTATCAAATTAACGTGTTGTACACCTTAAATTTATACAATATATAAGTCAATTATATTTCAACTAAAAAGAGCAAAAGTTATATATGATTCCTTAATTTGAACTCCAAGAAGATTTTTTAAAGATCTTATTTATTTATTTGAGACAGAGAGAGTGAAAGGGGGGGGGGGGGGCGGGGAGAGGGAGAGGGAGAAGCAGACTCTCTGCTGAGTAGGGAAGCTGACTCGGGGCTTGATCCCAGGACCCTGAGATCATGACCTGAGCAGATGCTTAACCGAAAGAGCCACCCAGGTGCCCCTCAAGAAGATTTTTTTAGAGGGCGCCTGGGTGGCTCAGATGGTTAAGCGTCTGCCTTCGGCTCAGGTCATGATCCCAGGGTCCTGGGATCGAGTCCCACATCGGGCTCCCTGCTCCTTGGGAGCCTGCTTCTCCCTCTGCCTCTCTCTCTCTCTCTGTCTCTCATGAATAGATAAATAAAATCTTTAAAAAAAAAAAAGATTTTTTTAGAAGATACTGTATAGGGTGGACCCTATTCTATACTCTATTTTCTCCAATTCCCTGCCAATGCAAGAAAAAATTCCTAAAGTGAAGGAAAAGCGGGGAATTTTTCTCCCTCTGTTTTATATCCTGCTGGATGGTTGCATCTCCTTTTAAAAAATATTTTAAAAAAAAATTTTAGAGAGAGTGCGTGACCATGGGGGGGAAGGGGGAGAGGGAGAAGAGAATCTCAAGTAGACTCCACGCTGAGGTGGGGGCCTGATCCCAAGACCCTGAGACCATGACCTGAGTCGTAACCAAGTCAGACGCTCAACCGACTGAGCCACCCTGGCGTTCCTGGTTGCATCTCTTTTTTAATGGGTTCTTGGTCACAGGTGAATCCAGGCCCATGTAATAAAGAAGGCTTGTTCAGTGCAGCTCAGCGTGTCCCTTTTATGATCTGTATTTTTACCTAACACAAAGCAGCCTTTCTAATTATTTCCCTTTTGTTTTCCCAATTTCCAACTATGTCACGTATGAAAGGGAGCAGTGAGGACAAAAGGCAAGCCTAGTTCCACAGCACCCCAGGGCTTATTTAGACTCCACCTGCTAATTCAAAAGAGAAATTTCAGGTAGGCGGGAAGCTCAGGCCTGCAGAGGATTCTGGGATGTGTAGTCCAGACGCTTTCTGGGCTCGGGGCACTTCCGCTCCAGGAGAGCGCAAAACTATTTGCTCCGCTTGAGAAGTGGGAGAGTATAATACAGTGCTCTGCGTGTTCGGAGGCATTTCGGCTACCGGAGGGCAAGAATGCGAAGCCCTCTCCTTTCGTGGACTCCGGGAAATCGGATTCAGGCAGTTGGTGTGGGAGCGGACTTTTCTTCCTCACGCGGGGGAGGGGCAGCGGCTCGGGTTCCTCTCGGGAATGCTGGGAAATGTAGTCCAGGAGCCCCGCGTAGTTGGCGGTATTTCCGCTGCGGGAGGTTAAGATCGCGGCCTTCGTTTCTCTCTGGGAGGTGAGTGATTCCCCAGAACCCCGCGACCTCTTTTAAGTTTTTGACCCGGTTGTGGGATCAGCCGCGCCGGGCGCTGGGCCTCAGGGAGGAAAAGCCTCGGCCAGTGGCAGAGAGCGAGGTTGAGGGACGGGGGCGGCCGCTTGCCTGCCCCTCGCCGGAGCCTCTGCGTTTGGAGCAGTTGGCGGGTGTCCGGCTTGGAGGCGGACGCGGCTCCGCAGGGTTCGAGGGCCTCCGCGCTCCCCGCTGCCCAGCTCGCCTTCCCCTCCCCTTCCACACGCTCTGTCACCGCCTAGAACTTAATCTTTCTGTGCCTCAGTTTCCTTTGCTGGCAACGGGGATATTACCTACCTTATACATTGGTCTTGAGAATTCATGGTGTGTATAGTACAAGTGAAATGTTCGGAGCAGTTCGGACGTGTGGCAAGGTGTTAGCTATGAATATAAACACTAATAGTCAGAAAAGTTGCCTCTCCGGAAGCTCTTCCAAGTGCTACTGGCTCTTCTTACCAATGCAGGAAAGGAGGCTGTGCCCGGACTACTTCTGACTCGTTTTTTAGAAAGAGAGCGTCACCCACAAGTATCTTCCGCGGTTTTTCCGGGGCCACAGACAAGATTGTAGTATCTCCGCCTCCTTTCCGCTGTCCTGACTTTTGAAAGAAGGCTCCTTGGCAGCAGAGCCCCACTGTGACCGTACTTCGCTTTCGTCTTCTTTTTCTGCGGTGGTAGAAGGTATTTCATTCATTAGCAACCGTTAAATAATTGGGAAAATATGTAGAACATGTACAGGACGTGAGTGGTAGTCATAATGGTTACACCTTGAGTGCTAAGCGTCGTCCTGAGGGCTTTATAAAAAGTAACACAGAGGGCGCCTGGGTGGCTCAGTTGGTTGAGCGACTGCCTTCGGCTCAGGTCATGATCCTGGAGTCCTGGGATCGAGTCCCGCATCGGGCTCCCGGCTCGGCAGGGAGCCTGCTTCTCCCTCTGACCCTATCCCCTCTCATGCTGTTTCTCTCTCTCAAGTAAATAAATAAATAAAATCTTTAAAAAAAAAAAAAAAGAACTTCTCAAACTCGGGCGCCTGGGTGGCTCAGTTGGTTAAGCAACTGCCTTCGGCTCAGGTCATGGTCCTGGAGTCCCGCATCGGGCTCCCTGCTCGGCAGGGAGTCTGCTTCTCCCTCTGACCCTCCTCCCTCTCATGCTCTCTGTCTCCCATTCTCTCTCTCAGATAAATAAATAAAAAATCTTAAAAAAAAAAAAAAAGTAACACAGATAGTCTTCACAAAGCCCTATGAGGTGAATATTGTTACTGCCTCTATTTTACAGATGAGGAAACGGAGGCAGAGGAGCCTGTTACTTATCCTGTGTCACACTGCTAGTGGGTGAAGTGGATTTGAATCCAGGGTGTGTGTTTCTTATGTGTGTGGCTGTTCTTGGTCCCGAAGTTGAAAGTCCCCAAATTGGAATTAGGAAACAAAATAGAAAAATAAGTTATATAAATATTTAACCATAGGAAACTGGCTGCAGAGAAGTCATTTGGGATCAAGTTATGGAAGTAGGTTGGAATTTTATTGTCGAGTATTTTGAAAGCAGGATTTATGAATCTGGACTTCTTTATAAAATTTTGGAAGCTTTCTCATTTAATTTTATTTCAGACAGTATTTATAATTCATGTTCTCATTATGGAAGATATGCACACTCATAGTAGAGAATTCAGAAAATATATAAAGAAAAGCATTGAGAATAACTCCTAATACTAGAATATAGACAGTTTTTTTGGACATCTTAGTGCATTTCTGTTTAGCAGTTTTTAAATGTGTATTTATTTATTTTATGAAATTGTTATCCCAGTATTCATAGTTACTCCCTTAACTCTTTGCTATGGAAGTTTCCAAGCATACCCAAAATATAATGTAATGAACTCCTATGTAACAATCACCCTAATTCAATCCTTCCTAATTTTGTTGCTTCTCTGCTTTCCACGCACATATTTTTTTCTCCTTGAGTATTTTTTTTTTAAATATTTATTTATTTGACAGAGAGAGACACAGCGGGAGAGGGAACACAAGCAGGGGGAGTGGAAGAGGGAGAAGCAGGCTTCCCGCCGAGCAGAGAGCCCGATGTGGGGCTCGATCCCAGGACCCTGGGATCATGACCTGAGCCAAAGGTAAATGCTTAACCGACTGAGCCACACAGGTGCCCCCTACTTGAGTATTTTAAAAGATTTTATTTATTTGAGAGAGAGCAGGAGAAGGAGCAGAGGGAGAGAGAGAGAATCTCCAGCAGAGCCTGACTCAGGACTTGATCCCAGGACCCTGAGATCATGACTTGAGCAGAAACCAAGAGTCAGACACTTAACTGACTGAGCCACCCAGGCACCCCTCTCGTTGAGTATTTTAAAGCAAACCCGGATGTTGAGTCGGTGGGACTGAAAAACTAAAGTATCACACATTGTTTATATGTGAAGACCAATGGAAGGGAGGCACCAGGACTGGTGCAACAAAATACCTTAGACTGGGTGGCTTAAGCAACAGAAATTTATTTTGTCACAGTTCTGGAGCTAGAAGTCATAGATCAGGGTGTTGGCAGGTTTAGTTTCTTCTGAGGCCTCTCTCCTCGTCTTATAGATGGCTGCCTTCTTGCTGTGTCCTCACATGGCCTTTACTCTGTGCAAATCCTTCTCCTGTCCCTTTGTGTGTCTAGATTTCCTCTTACTAGGACATTAGTCAGATTGGCTTAGGGCCCACCCTAAAGAACTCATTTTAAGTTAATCACCTCTTTAAATGCCCTATCTCCAAATATAATCACATTCTGAGGAACTGGGGTTTAGAACTTCAACATAAGAGTTTTAGGGGGTCAAAATTCAGTCCATCACAGAGATATTAACAGCAACTCTAAGGTTTTCACTCTTGGCACCGAGGAGAATGTTACTTATAGGAGAAAGTTAGAGGGAGTTGCAGTTAGGAAAGATGATGGGTTGTCTTTGCTCCTTTGAGGTTGCTCTTGCCACTGGCATATAGCTTTGATTTCTTTTCTCTCTCTTGCTGGCTGCAGGGACCACTGTTTCCTGGACCTCAGAGTGCCTAGCAGCAACCTAGAGGTTGGCAGAGAAGAGTTATTCAGTGAGTAAGTGTGACTCATGTAGCTATCCAAAGGGAAGCCCTAGCCTGGGATTAGGAAACAAAATAGGTAATCTATATTCACATTCCTTGTCTTTGATCTCACTTGTGGTGGGCTGCGGAATACCACCAGCTTTTTCAGAGTATTCAGAAGTTGATGTACCATTATGTACAGTATGTCACGGTCTAAAACAAATTTCCTTAGAAACAAGTGGATGCTAATGTTTTTCTTTTTTTTAAGATTTTATTTATTTGACAGAAAGAGAGAGAGAACAAGCAGGGGGAATAGCAGAGGGACAGGGAGAAGCAGGCTCCACGCTGAGCAGGGAGCCCAACGCAGGGCTTGATCCCAGGACCCTGGGATCATGACCCAAGCCGAAGGTAGACGCTTAGCAGACTGAGCCAGCCAGGTGCCCCTAATGTTTCATTTTTTGCTTATTGCGCAGAGATCATAATGGGTATGATTAGAATAGCTAACTTGTTGGGCACTTCTAACAACTTGGAGAAGTTCCAATGCTTTGCATGTACTAATTCACTTATTTTTCATAACAATGCTATTATTATTATTCGCCTTTTAAAAATGAAGAGACAGGCAGAGACTATTGAATAAATGACCTGTTGCACAGTCAGCAGAGGGCAGGACAGGATCAAACTTGAGCAGCTAGGTTTAAAACCTAGCTCTAGCACTCTCTGACTGGATAACCTTGGGCAAAGTATTTAACTGCTCTGTGCCTCTGTTTTCTTACCTGTCCAAATAGGGTTCTCGGTATGCACCTCCTAAAGTTTTTGTGAATATTAAAAGAGATATGCTATGTAAAATGCTTGAAATAGCACCCGGCACGTTGTAAACCCTCAACATATTACAGATTAAAGTTGTCTTTTTCCTACTATAGGTGGCTATGCAACATGAAAAATGCAGCAAGTTATTGAAAGGGCAAAAGGGGATTTTAAGGTATTCTTTTTTTCACCTGCCTGCCGTTTTCACTACTTCAGTTCTGTCATTCAGTTGAACAAAAATGAAGAGTTTCTGTAAAAGCCATTGGTTAAACTTATAACTAACACTAATTTGCTGTCTTTTGAACCCAGAGAGTCCCTGGGGGATGGTTATTTGGTCTCTGTTGCTTTAAAAAGGTTCAAGTCGTCACTATCCAATATGGTAGCCGTCAGGTACGTGTGATAGATAACTGAGCACTTGAAATATGGCCAGTGCTAATTGGGATGTGCTGTAAGTGTAAGACACACAATGGATTTCAAAGACTAGTATGAAAAAAAGGAATGTAAAATGTCTCAGTAATTCTTATGTTGATTGCAGGTTGAATGGTAATATTTTGGATATATTGGGTTAAATAAAATATAGTGTTAAGATTGAGCTCACTTGCTGCTTCTTACATTCTTACATTTTTTAATGTGGCTACTAGAAACGCTTCAATTACACTATGGAACTTGCATTATATTTCTGTTGGATGGCACTGGTCTTAATGGAAGCTCTGTGTTCACTCCCTGGATTTGCCTCCAGGGACATTCACAAGTCACTCTTGCGCCTGAGGCCTCCAGAGGCATCTTACAATGGAGAGAAGCAGGAAGTTGGGAATTAGGAGGCCTGAGTGCCAGGTCTAACCCTGCCCTTGACTTTCTGGGTGTCCTTCAGCAGTTCAGATAACTCCTTGAGAGGCAGAATAGAATAACACGGTGGTTCTCAAATTTGGGTCATACCAAAATCACTTTAGGGAACTTGGTAAAAAATGGAGAGACTATAAAGACCTAGGAGTTTTACTATATCAATGAGCCTGGCCTTTTGTGTTCTTTATTAGCTTTCTGGGTGATTCTGAGGCTGTTCTGATCACCTCCTACTCACCCTGTGTAGGAAGGAGAATCCTTGTTCTTAGTAGTGTGAGGTGGCTGAATGCAGGACACCTGTCACTGGACAGGGTGTGATTGGCAGCAGCTTACCCACAGCCCGTGGGAGGAGGACACTACATGCCATGCAGGGCCGTGTGGGGGTTGCACCCAGGAATAGACTAAACCAGCAGGGACTATGGTAGGTGGGTTTTATAGGGACAAGAAAGTACAGTGACCCTTGTCTCCCGAAAGAAGATGTGATTAGCTTGTCTGAATAATTTCACAGGCTGGCAGGGAGGTAAAGCCTGTTAGGTTGAGGACTGAGTGGGGTGCAGCTGGTCCAGTTGGTAGGGTGAATTTTGTCGGGTCTTAAGTTACAAAGGTGATCAAGTGGCAACATGGAGAGGTTCACGCCATTGAGAAAGAAGGTTTTTAACACTTAATGGTTCCCCCAGAATCGAGAGGCATAGCCTGCTATACAGGACCACATGAAGCCTATCACATGCAGGGTTGGGAAGCAGAGAGAGGAACTGGGGTATGCCTTTATGACTAGAGTGGCAGGAAGTAACTAGGTGGAGACACCTGTATTGGGTCCTGGTGAAAAGAGGCAGGTTGGGGTCAGTGGTCAGGGGAATTATGACTCTTGAGTGCTCTCAGGAAGCTGGCTTTGGTTGACAGACTGGCTTTGTGATTGAGCAGACTCATGGAGAGGTTGGAATAACAGATGTCAAAGAGCCAGTAATTGAATCGAAAACCCTGGTTCATATGCAGAGGAAGTAGCTGGGTGGGGAGCCTTTCAACCCCAGGGTCAAGGCCGTATCTGGAGAGAGCAGAGGAACTCATGGCTAGGCCTTTGGGCCTGTGTGGCTCAACCATGTTCAGGCAGCACGTGGAATTTCAGGCCTTACAATAATGATGAGCACAAGAGTTGACAACCACTGAGTATAGGACAAGGTCTTGGGCCTGGGCGCCATATTGCCTAGGTTCATTAGTGCCTGGTGTAGTGTCCTGACTGGACAAAGAGATTGTGGCCAGGGGCAGCGGGAGGGGTGTAGAAATGCACATGTCAGCCACCCACCTCCACAGACCTGATTTCATTAGTTGTGGTTGAGGTCTGAGCCCCGCCCCCCCCCTTTTTTTAAAGTTCCCTTGTGAGTCTAATGTGCTGTCCAAGTTGAGAACTACGGTCCTAGTAGATAAGGCTCTGGGTGAAAATCTTGACTTTTCTATTGGCCACTGGTTGATCATGAACCGAGCTACTTCTCTGTGCTCCATTTTCTTTACCTGTAAAATGGGGATGATTGTTGTCTCAGTCTCTAGACTTGTGAAGATCAAGTAAGATAGCACATGTACAACATTCATGGAAATGGTGCCATGGTAGGTACTAAGTCAGTTGTTACAATTGTCAGCTGCTGAACTATTAATGGAAGTATTTTCTGAATGGCCTGGGTTTCTTGTGGGTAAAATTAGGTGCTTAGAGTTGCTCTTGGTATTCTTGCTGATCCTAACAAATGGATTCTAATACCATTTTTAGAACCAGAGATAAAGAGAAGATTGCAATGTATTTACTTTCTCTAACTTCTTTGTTCTGTTGTGGGTAGAAGAGTTGAAGGTGAAAACCTCAAGTCTTTAGTCCATCTGAGAATACCTGGAGAGTTGTTTTGACTGATGCTACTCACATAGTGACCCAGAAACCAACAGCATCAGCATCATCTGGGATATTGTTAAAAATGTAGATTCTTAGTCTCCATCCTTGATGTTCTGATTTAGAATTTCTGGGGGTGAGACACAGGTGTCTGTACCTTTCCAGGGTCCCCAGTTGATTCATGGAACATTAAAATTTGAGAAGCACTGGTAGAACAGACTTGTGGCTTTTTAACAAAAAATACTTTCTGTTTCTCTCTGGCTGAATTCCACATCCTTCCAATACCAGATATCTGCATGACGTGCTCTCCCTTGGTTCAGGTCTCTGGTCAAATGTGGGAGAAGCCTCCATGACAAAAACTTATTCTGCAACAGCCACTCCTTCCATTTCTTCTTATCTCTTTACCCTGCCTTATTGTTCTTCCTTTCTTTCTTTCTTTTTTTTTTAGAGAGAGAGCGAGCTCAGGAGCGGAGGGGCAGAGGGAAAGGGAGAGAGAGAAACCCAGGCAGGCTCTACGCCCAGTGCAGAGCCCAACATGGGGCTTGATCTCATGACCCTGAGATCATGAGCTGAAATCAGGAGTCGGATGCTTAACCGACTGAGCCACCCAGCTGCCCTGACCCTGCCTTCTTGTTCTTGAAAGTACCTCTCACTGTATTATCTGTTTGCTATTGTCCTTGTCCCCGTTATAGTATCAGCCGCATGAGATCATGGTCCTAGCTGCTTCATTCACTGCCGTGTCTTTCGTGTCTTGGATCCTTGGCTGGCATATAGAGTAGGCTCCCAATAATTACATGTTGAGCAAATGATTCAGGAGTTAAACAATAAAGCTCTGATCTGTATCTGTCAGCTGTTCATTACAGCAGTCATTCTGCAGGTCTTTGCTGATTCCTACCAAGTGCTCACAGAAAGTGTCTTCTTTTGTCTTGCTGCTTTTTAAATTTTTTTCTTTTTCACTACATTTTTGCCATTTTAATTACAATATGTCTTGGTGTGGATCTGCTTTTGTTGATTTTGTTGGGGGTTCTCTGTGCTTCCTAGATCTAGATATCTGTTTCCTTCCCAGATTAGGGAAGTTTTCAGCTACTATTTCTCAAGATAACTTTTCTGCCCCCTTTTCTCTCTTCTTCTTCTGGGATCCCTATACTATGATTGTTACTATGTTTGATGGAGTCACTGAATTCCCTGTCTGTTCTTGTTTTGCAGAATTCTTTTTTTCTCTCTTTTGTCCAGCTTGATTACTTTCCATTACTGTGTCTTCTAGGTCATTAATTCATTTCCCTGCTTCGAGCCTGCTGTTCATTCCATTGAGTGTGTTTCTCATTTTGTTTATTGAGCCCTTTATCTCTGTTGTTATTTTATTTCTGTGTTAATGGCCTTACTGATGTCCTCCACTCTTTTCTCAGGTCCAGTGAGTATCTTTGTGGCCATTACTTTAAATTCCCAACCAGGCATGTTAGTTAGATGTATTTCACTGAGATCTCTGGCCGTGGCCTTGTCCTGTTCTCTCATTTGGGACAAATTCGTCCGTCTTCTCATTTTGTCTAAGTCTGTGCCTGCTTCTCTGTGTTTGGAAAGTCAGCAACATCTCCTTTTCTGACGGTAATGGCCTTGTGAAGAGGTCCTGTGGTGTCCTGCCGTGTAGTGTCCTCTGTTCCCCAGCGCGTGGTGCTTCAGGGAGTGTCTCCTGTGTGTGCTGTGTGTGCTCTGCTTGGTGTCAGCAGGTGTCAGTGCCTCACTGGTTCCTACAGGTGGCTCTGTGTATGCTGAGGGGTGGGGGAGGGCAATGGCTATGGCAATGGCTCTTTCCGAGCCCATGGCTTCGGGGATTCGTTTTCCCCCTGTGCTCCCTGTGTGTTAATCTGTCTCTCACACTTCTCCACAGCCATGGCTCCCTCTTCCCCACTGAGGCCACGCTCTGTTTCTCTCCGAAACCGAATCTCCACACTTCCTGACCTCATCGGGGGGGGGGGTGTCTCTTCCCTACCTTTACTTGTGGAGTTTGCGCTGTTTGACGGGTTGTGTTCAGGTTGATTTCTGGGGTATTTAGGATGATTTCATAGTTATCCAGTTGTATTTGTGGGAGGAGGCGAGCTTAGGGTCCTCCTACTCTTGCCACTATCTTCCCCTGTCTCCAAGAAGGAAGTGATTCTTGATGTCACCCTCCTAACAGTCCTCTCTGACCCCAGCCACTTCCCCCTCAAATCTCTCTGCTGAGAGAGTAATCTGTTTCCAAGACAAAAGGGATCTTCTTGCCCTCCCTTCCTCATGGCCTTTGCTGCTTTCCTGTTGACTTGCAGATAAAACTGGGACTCACGTCACCATAGGTTGAATCCTGCCCACCTGCTTATCTGTTGCTGCCTCTTATTTGTATTCACTCCCATCATGGCATTTATTCTCTTGAGGTTTTCCTGTGATTCTGCTTCTCTTGGGCTAGTAGAACTCAGTCATCCCCCACAGTTCAGCAAAAGCCATGTTTATGTAGAACCTGCTCTGTGGGCCTTGGGGGACCCAGAGGACGACCCTGTACCCTACTCTGCCAGGTAGCAATGTGTAATCACCAGACTGTGAGCAAGTTGGGACTGGGTAATTGTAGCTCTCTTTTTTAAATTTTATTTATTTATTTGAGAGAGAGAGCATGAGAGAGCATGAACAGGGTGAGGGGCAGAGAGGGAGTGTGTTTCACAAAATGAGAAACACACTCAATGGAATGAACAGCAGGCTCAAAGAAGCAGGGAAATGAATTAATGACCTAGAAGACACAGTAATGGAAAGTAATCAAGCTGGACAAAAGAGAGAAAAAAAGAATTCTGCAAAACAAGAACAGACAATTCAGTGAGCAGGGAGCCTGATGCAGGGCTTGATCCCAGGACCCTGGGATCATGACCTGAGCCGAAGGCAGACACTTAACCTACTGAGCCACCCAGGCGCCCCAATTGTATCTCTCTTAGTGAGTTTTCCATAAGTGTTCAATGAATTAATAAACTCATTTATTTAATGAAGAATTTATAAATTAGCCTGTCTAATGCTAATTATGTAGGCAGTGAGCTAGTTGTTATTCTGATTATTTTGATGGATACATTGTGTGGATTTTGTAACAGGAGTCCATGCAGGCACTGACTTTGAAAAGCAGAAATCACCTTCCTAAAATGGTAGTTTTAAAAATCCAGAGGCTCTTCTCTCTCTTCTCCTCCCTCTGCCCCTCCACCCGCTCATGCTCTCTCCAAGTAAAATCTTTAAAAAAGAAAAGGGGGCACCTGGGTGGCTCAGTCGGTTAAGTGTCCAGTTCTTGATTATGGCTCAGGTCATGATCTTGGGGTCCTGGGATTGAGCCCTGCATTGGGCTTGGCGTGTAGTCTGCTTGGGATTCTCTCTCTCCCTCTCCCTCTGTACCTCCTCCCACTTGTGCTCTCTATCTCTCTCTAAAATAAATAAATAAAATCTTAGAAAAAAAAATCCAGAGGCTCTTTTCCTCCCAAAGATGACCTTGATCTTGCAGATATTGTGAAAGACTTGGAGAAAAAACTTGGAAATAAAACCCCTGCTCTCCAAATCCTTCCAGTTGGGATCAGCCTCAAAATTTTACAATTCAGGGGTGCCTGGTGGCTCAGTCGGTTAACTGTCCAACTCTTAATTTCTGCTCAGGTCATGATCTCAGGGTTGTGAGGTGAATCCCACGTCAAGCTCCATGCTGAGTGTGGAGCCTGCTTAAGATTCTCTCCCTCTCTCTTCCTCCCTCTCAAAAGAAAATTTTTTTTTACAACTCAAGGAAATCTTAGACCAACTAGTCTGCTCTTTCCGTATGCCTCTGCCTGTCTCCCTGATGGTATGTTCATTCATCAAGACATTGACACTGACTGCTGAGTGTCTCCTGAGCAGTTTCTGTTACAAGCACTGTTTCAGGTGCTTGAGATATAAAGCTGAGTAGGTATTAATTACAAGATCGGTTTACCAATTATCCCCTTTCCCCCAGAGGTGACGGAAAGTTCTCCCTGCAGAACACTCTTACTGAGCAGAAGTTGTTGGACAAACAGAGTCAGAACAAAGTGAATCACAGATCCCAAAAGCGTATTTCTTCCAAGATTGGGAAGTTTTCCATTGCCCTTTTCCATACTAGGGTTCTTGTATCTGAAGATGGAGGAATAACTAATAGTAATTAACTAATAAGTAATACATTAACCAACAGTTAACCATCTCTTAACCTGAGTATTGTATGTTCAGTTTCCACCCTCCTCAGAATCAGAATCCTACTGAGAGCGATAAGGAAAACTTGTATTCAGGCCACCAGTGTGGTTGGGCGGGTTGTTCACTGCCCAGGGGCGCTCAGCTGGAAGGGGCTTGGTCTCGGGAATCTAACCCACGCTCTGCATGCAGCTGCCCCGAGGGAGGGGTTCCTTGGCTGTTCCATGTAAAGCAGCCATACAAGAAACTTGTATTGAATGTTTAAGCCGCAAGACGCTGTTCCGAATGTCTGACGTATAGTCACTTAGACCCACTACCCTTCCCCTGAGGTTGGTAATATTATTGTTGACATTATTATTATCTCCAATTTTAGCTTGGGCTTTGAGACACAAAGTGATAGCAAGTTGGGGATGCAGTATTCACATACTGGTGGTCTGATTCTAGAGCCTACACCCTTCACTGCGCTGTTCTCTTCTCCCTCAAGCACATCCTTTGGCTTCAGAGTCCTCTCCCTGTTTCCGTGTCTGTCATCCCTAGCTCTCAGCTCTCGTTTCTCTTCCTGTGAGACCTTGGAGTCCCATGTGCGTATTTTTGTCTTCAGAAGTAGCAGAGAGGCAAGATCTAGAATACCAGTTCTGGTGTGAGCTGGAGTCCAGTTCCGCCCGTGTGTCTTGACCTCATCAAGCCTCAGCTTCCTCGTCTGTTAAATAGAAGCCACAGTCCTCATCATCACTGATTGAGAACTTCCTAAAATGCCAGGTACAGTGCCAGGGGAATTGCATGGATTAACTCATTTATTCCTGCACAATAATCCTCTGATTGAAATTCCATTTTTATCTCCTTGTTATAGCTGAGGACGGGCACAGAGGTGTAGGCGATTGGACCGAAGTCACACTAGTGTGACAGAGCTTCGTCACAGGTACGTAGGCGGTACCTTCACGAAACTGTGTGCCAGGTGCTTCATAAGGTCCCCAACATGTGCTTGGTGCTCAGTTAACGCCACCCATGCTGTTTTTGTTGTTTTTAATAATTTGCTACGATTATTGTACCTCGTTAGTTTGAATGACATAATGACAAGGGCTACCTAGCTTATGGGTAAATAAATCTTGCAGTCACAGGTTTTTATTAATTTTTCTTCATCTTCATGATGGAGTCTTTTCAAGGCCCTGCTGTTAACCAGAGTAAATTTGGCAAGGTCTCATATCTTTAAAAAAACAGTCATCTGTAAAAAAAAAAAAAAAAAAACAAAATAAAAAAGCCCACAGTTTCCCATATAGTCAAATTCACAGAGAGAAAGTAGAGTAGTGGTTACTAGGGGCCGAGGGGCGGGCTGGTGGGGAGCTGTTGTTTTATGGGTACAAGAGTTTTAGTTGAGGATGGTGAAAAAGTTCTGGAGATGGGTGGTGGTGATGATTGCACAGCAGTAGGAATGCACTTAAACTGTATGCTTAAAAATGGTTAAAAGGGTAAAATTTTTTTTTAAAGATTTTATTTATTTGACAGAGAGATAATGAGAGCAGGAACACAATCGGGGGAGTGGGAGAGGGAGAAGCAGGCTTCCTGCCAATCAGGCCCAATGTGGGGGCTCGATCCCAGGACCCTGGGATCACAACCCGAGCTGAAGGCAGACGCTTAACGACTGAGCCACCCAGGTGCCCCTAAAAGGGTAAATTTTATGTTATTTTATGTTATGTCATTTTACACAGGAAAACAAGTCATCCATGTAATCTCACACCTTATTGCAAAGACATCCCATTAAGTATGACAGACCATGAGAGAATAATATATTTCAGAGGTTAAAGGGGATTTTCATATGACAGAGCAACATCCTCTAAAGGCTCCGTTGATAGAAACCATTTATGAGGACAGGTTTTACATTAGTGAGTATTACCTGCTCTTCTACAGCTACTAAGAAATAAGATACCCTGAAAGTGTTCCATGTGCTTGCACCTGCTGATTTAATTCTTAAAACAATCCTATGAAATAGGCACTGTTAATCCCTCCATTTTTACAGATTAAAGAATTGAGGCACAGAGACATTAATAATTTGTCAGAGATTTCACAGCTGATAAGTATCAGTACCATAGACCTAAAACATTTGGCCCCAGCGATTACTCTCTCAACCTGGGTGCTTTACTCTCGATGTCCACGCTCCCTAGAACCAGATTCATACCCTAAAAGCTATAAGGAGAACTTGTGTTAGGGGCACCGTGTGTAGTTGAGCAGGTTGTTCATTGTGCAGGGGCTCTCGGCTGAAGGAGTCAGTGGTCTCAGGAATCCAGCTCACACTCTGCTCATCAAGCCCCCTGAGGAAAGGACACCATTTCTATTTGATGTAAAGCGTGAAATATGGGTAGTGATGTTAGCCATATGGGTTAAGGACAGTCTTGGCCAGACTCTGATGGCTTTTTTTTCTCCTTCCCCTTTAGTGCCTTCTCAGGACTCAGCCCTTTCTTAGAAGGACGAGGACAAAATGACTAAGTTCAAGGTGAGTTGGGCTTCCTTTCTAGATTTTAAACCATTGTCTCATTTCTCAGTGATTAAATGCTTTCTTGAAACAAACAGAATAGCAGGCATTTCAAAACCTCTTCTGTGCCAGAGGATCACTGCTTTTTATTTTAGTGTAGTTTAATTTTTGTTGTTTTAATTTACCCTTTTATAATTTCACAAATAAAATAGAAAAGTCAATAGCAGTGAACCCCCCCACTTTACTACTATTTTCCTTATAAAAACTGTTTTCATTTCCCCATGTTTTTTTCCTCATACGCATTCATAACTGTATATTTGTAATAGTTACATAGTTAAAATTTTCAAATTATGCCTTTTTTTTTTAAGATTTTATTTATTTATTTGATAGAAAGACACAGCGAGAGAGGGGACCCACAAGCAGGGGGAGTGGGAGAGGGAGAAGCAGGCTTCCCGCAGAGCAGGGAACCCGATGCAGGGCTCGATCCCAGGACCCTGGGATCATGACCTGAGCTGAAGGCAGACGCTTAACGACTGAGCCACCCAGGCACCCCTCAAATTATGCCTTTTCTAATTAATTGATATTATATTCCCTACATTTTTAATGGCTGCATCATATTTCCTTAAATTGATGTACTCTGTGTTTGTCTCACAACTTTTGCCCCATTCATGGACATTTAGGTAGTTTAGAATTTTTTTTTTTTAAAGATTTTATTTATTTTTTAACAGAGAAACAGCGAGAGAGGGAACACAAGCAGGGAGAGTGGGAGAGGGAGAAGCAGGCTTCCCGCCGAGCAGGGAGCCCGATGTGGGACTCGATCCCAGGACTCTGGGATCATGACCTGAGCCGAAGGCAGACGCTTAACAACTGAGCCACCCAGGCGCCCTAGAATTTTTTTTTTAAGATTTTATTTATTTGAGAGAGAACGAGCAGGGAGAGGGACAGAGAGAAGGAGAAGCAGGCTCCCTGCTGAGCAGGGAGCCCAGCATGGGCTCGATCCCAGGACCCTGGAATCATGACCTGAGCCGAAGGCAGACGCTTAACCAACTGAGCCACCCAGGCGTCCCTAGAATTTTTATTATGTTAAAGAACACTGTTGTGATGAGCACCGGGTATTATATGGAAGTGTTGAACCACTAAACCGTACCCCTGAAACTAATATTACACTGTATGTTAACTAACTGGAATTTAAATAAAAGCTTAAAAAAAAAAGTAAGACCAGGAAAGTGAAATTATAATAAATTCTGATTTTGATATACTTAAAAAAAAAAGAATATTGCACTAACAGTTTTCCTAACATAACCACTTTCCTCAAAAAGGAATTTGGAGGAGTTTGCTCTTCTTTGTTCTTAATGTTTCAGGAATCTAAATTGAAAAAGTATACTTGATAGGCAGTACCTTGGGGATTTTGTACATAGAACACTCTGATGTGGCCTAGTGCAGCCGGCTATAACTGATGCATCACACACAGAAAGTATTCTTCCATATTTTCCCATAAGAAAACTAGATTCCTTTTTTTTTTTTAAGATTTATTTAGGGCGCCTGGGTGGCTCACATGGTTAAGTGTCTGCCTTCGGCTCAGGTCAAGATCCCAGGGTCCTGGGATCGAGTCCCGCATTGGGCTCCCTGCTCCTTGGGAGCCTGCTTCTCCCTCTGCCTCTCTCTCTCTCTCTCTCTCTCTGTCTCTCATGAATAAATAAATAAAATCTTAAAAAAAAAAAAAAAGATTTATTTATTTATTTTAGAGAGAAAATGAGCTGGAGGGGCAGAGGGAGAGGAAAAGAGAATCTCAAGCAGACTCTACGCTGAGCAGGGAGCCCGACAAGGGGCTAGATCTCATGACTGTGAGATCACCACGAGCTGAAATGAAGAGTCGGATGCTTAACCAACTGCGCCACCCGGGCACCCCCAAAGCTAGATTCTTTCTAACCTGTGTCTGAGTCCTATCATGTGCATGTGTTATTTACTGATTTATATGTGTATATTTTAAATATTTGAGAGAGAGAACAATAGGGAGAGAGCGAGAGAGCCAGCATGAGGGGCAGAGGGAGAGGGAGAAGTAGACTCCCCACCGAGCAGGGAGCCTGATGCGGGGCTCCATCCCAGGACCCTGAGATCATGACTTAAGCTGAAGGCAGATGCTTAACCAACGAAGCCACCCAGGCACCCTGATTTTATATTTTTTGTTTACATATTGATTTATTTTTATCAAAGTAATAGTGTTCTTAAATTTAAAAGTCTAGTAGTAAAGGAAGACCTACTGATGCTTTTCTTACTGCATTTAGTTTCCGACCAACCTTAAGAGGCAGTACTTGGTCGCCTCTGCATGTTAATTCCAAAGAAACAGGATTGTAGAATTTTAGAAAACTCTTTAGGTTCACACAGGAAACCAAAGGTCCAACTGATCCAAAAAGACTCCTAGGAGTTTTACTTGGATAAAGAGGGAGGCAAGGGAAAATAATTCTTCTCGGGGCCTTAGCCCTTTCTGTGTGTGCTTAGTTGCTGTCGTTCACAGAAGACACCACATATAATACTGCCTCTTCTTGGTCACTCTTTGGTGGCTCCTTCTTTAGGATCTCTGTTGCTCATTCAGGGCACCTGGATGTGCAGGGCTCCCGCAACGAAAACACAGTTTCCATATGAAAAAGTTGAGATTGTACTGTACACCAGCGATCCTTTTTTTTTTTTTTTTTTGAAGATTTTATTTATTTATTTGAGAGAGAGAATGAGGGAGAGAGAGCACATGAGAGGGGGGAGGGTCAGAGGGAGAAGCAGGCTCCTCGCTGAGCAGGGAGCCTGATGCGGGACTCGATCCCGGGACTCCAGGATCATGACCTGAGCCGAAGGCAGTCGCTTAACCGACTGAGCCACCCAGGCGCCCTACACCAGCGATTCTTAATCACGGGTAATTTTTGCCCCCAAGCAATGTCTGGAAACATTTCTGGTGTCAAAACTTGAGGGAGGCTTCAGCATCTGGTGCATAGAAGCCAGGGCTGCTGCTAAACATCCTACATTGCAGGGGACAGCCTCCCCCCCCAACAGTTATCTGGCCCAAAATGTGAGTGGTGTCAGGGTTGAGAAACCATGCCGTACACAAAGCTATACAAGAACAATAGCAAAATGTGGGTGATGATACTTATGTATGTTTTAAAAAAAAAAGAAAAAGAAAAGAAAGCTTGAAGTCTCTAATAGAAATTTTACAGAGTGATAAAATAAAACCCAATTGGAATATGAGCAAAGAACATTGACTGGCAAGGTACTAAAGAAGAAATAAAGATAACCAGTAAATATATGAAAATGTGATAGTTTAATTACCAAATAAGTATAAAATGAAAAGTAAGTTGTTTTTTACTGATCAGATTACATAGGACTTAAAAACATTGGTTATATTCAGTGTTGTGTGTGGTGTGGAGAATCAGGGCTACTTATATTCTCTCAGGGGAGGGGTGAAATACAGAAAAAGTTGAAAAGGAAACCTGCCATCCTACATAGTAATTTTGAAGTGGCATATCCTCGATATTACAATTTTTCCTTCTTAGAACTTATTCTAAGAAAATAATTAAGACAGGAGGCTAATATTTATTTAAAAGTTGTTCTTGGGCGCCTGGGTGGCTCAGTTGGTTGAGCGACGGCCTTCGGCTCAGGTCATGATCCTGGAGTCCCGGGATCGAGTCCCGCATTGGGCTCCCTGCTCGGCAGGGAGTCTGCTTCTCCCTTTGACCCTCCCCCCTCTCATGCTCTCTCTCTCTCTCTCTCATTCTTTTTCTCTCAAATAAATAAAAAATCTTAAAAATTGACTTTGGTCTCTTAGAATCTGAAGCTACTTTGTACACATCCCTTCCAGTTTTCTCAGTGCTCTTTCTCCCAGCAGCCACTGGGCTCAAGATTGAGGTTGTGTGTGCTTGGTGTTGTAGGAGGCTGTGACGTTCAAGGACGTGGCGGTGGTCTTCACGGAGGAGGAGCTGGGGCTGCTGGACCCTGCCCAGAGGAAGCTGTACGGAGACGTGATGCTGGAGAACTTCAGGAACCTGCTCTCTGTAGGTGAGCACAGGCGCCCTGTGGACTTCAGCCCCCTGCAGTGTTTATTGTATCCTTGGATGTGTGGAGCTTTGGAGCTCTTGTACTGGATGGCATTTTTCTGGTCTTTTGCCTCTGGTCAAAATATGTTTTGTAAATGAGCCGTAAATTGACTCGATGACTGCTATGTATACATTTTTGGCCTTTCTCAAGTTGTGGTCATCTCTGATTAGTGGGTCATGACACACATTTAGGGCGTTGTACCAGCGTTTGTTTGTTTTTTTTGAGAGAGAGAGAGAGTGCACGTGTGCATGTGCAAATGAGGAAAGAGGCAGAGAGAGAGGGAATGAGAGAATCCCAAGCAGGCTCCATGCTGCCTGATGCAGGCCTCAGTCTCACGACCCTGAGATCATGACCCAACCCAAAGTCAAGAGTAGGATGCTTAATTGATTGAGCTACCCAGGCGTCCCTGGTACCAGCATATTTTATTTATTTTTTTAAAATTTTTTAAAAATATATTTATTTGTCAGAGAGAGAGAGAGAACACAAGCAGGGGAAACAGCAGGCAGAGGGAGAAGCAGGCTCCCCGCTGAGCAAAAAGTCCAATATGGGACTCGATCCCAGGACTCTGGGATCATGACCTGAGCCGAAGGCAGATGTTTAGCTGATTGAGCCACCCAGGCGCCCCGGTACCAGCATTTTTAATGAAATAAAATAGGATAGAAAATAATCAGAGCCGGGGCGCCTGGGTGGCTCAGTCATTAAGCATCTGCCTTCGGCTCAGGTAATGATCCCAGGGTCCTGGGATTGAGCCCCGCATCAGGCTCCCTGCTCCGCAGGAAGCCTGCTTCTCCCTCTCCCACTACCCTATTTGTGTTCCTGCTCTCGCTCTCTCTCTGTCAAATAAATAAATAAAAAATCTTAAAAAAATAAAATACAGTAATCAGAGCCTTTGGCAATAACTGCACATTGCAGCAAAAACTACAGCCTGTTGCTGAAAATCGTGTGAGAAATGGTGGAAAGAGTCTGAAGAAAACAGACCTTTTTTCCCAGTAATTTACACTGAATGCCTACATATCCTGGATTTTTGCATCAAACGTAGTCTTCTGATGGGTCATAATTAACAGTTTGGAAATCACTAATTTTGATGTCCTACAGATGATATGGCGAGAACCACATATTTAGTAGTTTAGTAATTTTAGTAAGTTTTAGTAATTCTAAATGTTTGTCCTTGCCTTTTGACAGGGCATCAACCCTTCACCCCAGATCTAATACTCCAGTTTGAGAGAGAAGAAAAGCTTCGGATGATAAAGACAGCAACCCAGGGCCACTGTGCCTCAGGTGAAAGCCTTGCGGCTGAGTCGGCCATGCTTCCTGTCCGCCCCCACAGCAGTGCCTCGCCTCTGAATTCTGCAGCAGTTTCTCACGCTCTCCCTCCCCTCCTTTGCTCTTTTACAGTCGTTCTCCACTCGAAGTGATTCTTCTGTATGTCTGTCAACTCCTGTCCTCTGCTTGAATCTCTGGTAGCTTCTTATCTGATTGAGAGTATAAGCCAAGTACTTAAAGTGGCTTTTGGTGCCCCAGCTGCCTGCTCCTTGCTCTTCCCCCATCCTTCCGCACATGTGACCTATCACTTGCCCCCATGTCAATCTGTCCCGTCCAGTTTTGCCGCTCTGCTCTGCCCCCCATGGCCCTGCCTCATCACCCTCTCTCTATTTGTTCTTCCTTCTGTCAGGAGTGCCCTTTCTCTCTGTCATCCTCTTGGCCCTTCCCTTCCTTCACGTAGGTCTCTTCTCAAATCATAATATCATAAGAAAGACCTCCCATGACCACCCTGTTCATGACCCCTTCTTGTTTCCCCATTCTCCTTTCCCTTTTCACCTGTCCGATTTGGTGTCTAGGCATTCATCACCACTCACCATATTAACATATTTTTGTTTATCTCACTGTATTCCTGCTAGAATATAATTATCAGGAGGGAAGAAATTCTGTTTTCTTTATTGCTATATCTTCAGTGTATAAACAGACTTGGCAGAGGACAGATGTGCTATAAATACTTGTTGGATGAATGAATGAGATAATAATGGTTTACATGGACTTTTTTTCATTAGTTGTGGACATACTAAATGGGTGATAAACAGAAACATGTGATGAAGGCATAGTCCAGAACAGCAACCCCTATCCATGATTATCTAATCTAATCCTAATTTATCGGGTGCTTTTTTGGATACAAGTAGATATGTATCCGTTAAACCACATCTAGAGGTGCCTGGGTGGCTCAGTCGGTTAAGCATCCAACTCCTGATTTCGGCTCAGGTCATGATCTTAGGGTTGTGAGATAGAGCCCAACATCAGACTCCTCGCTGAGCTTGGAGCCTACTCAAGATTTTCCCTCTTGCTCTGCCCTACCCCCCCCACTGGCTCTCTCGAGCATTCTCTCTCTTAAAAAAAAAAACAATCCCCCACATTTAATGAAAGTTTGACTTTGCACTTGCAACCAAGTGCATACAGAAGAATCACTTCGAGTGGAGTCGTAGCTCAGATTTTAACATTCATTTCAGAAGTAGGTAGCAAGCTGTGGAACAGAGTTCCAAGGAGAACGTAACTCTTCCTGACCAGTATTGACTTTGAGAATCTGTACCATGCCCTGTTCATTTCCTCCTCACAAGTTGTTGCTTTGGTATAAAAGATTAGCTTCTGATTTGTCACTCTTTTTTTTTCCCCCTGGAGGATATAGCAACTTTATTGCAATGAGTTTTTGATATGATGTATGGTACTGTAAACCTCTTCCCCCATTGCCGTCCTGAAGAATATTTCCCAGCAGGAGGCGAAAGACCACTCTCTGCTTATACCCTGAACTTTAGGCACTTACTTGATAGGTTCTCCCAAACATGTCTTTCCAGCCAACCCAGTGCTTCAGGGCTTATAACATGGAATAAACTTCCAGTGAAATCATTTCAAACAAAGGTTTTCAACATTGCCTGAGGACATCTTTTGATAATCTGTCTATAAGGGTCTTACTAGACATGTTGAGCCTTTGGTCAGATGTGTGCAATAGGCAGAATTATGTGGAAACTATTTATCAGACATATGCTATAGCAAAAACAAGGCTTTTAGTAAGGTGCAGCTTCATCTTTGTAAAGCCTCCCTAGGAACTATTTTTCTTGATCTACAGCCACCAAATTTCTAACCTGTTTCTCACGTGTAAAACTTAGTATGATTCTTTTTTATTTTATTTTATTTTATTTTATTTTATTTTATTTTATTTTATTTTATTAATTGACAGAGACACAGCGAGAGAGGGAACACAAGCAGGGGGAGTGGGAGAGAGAGAAGCAGGCTTCCTGCAGAGCAGGGAGCCCGATGCAGGGCTCAATCCCAGGACCCTGGGATCATGACCTGAGCAGAAGGCAGACGTGTAATGACTGAGCCACCCAGGCGCCCCTAAAACTTAGTATGATTCTAAACGGACCTAAGTTTATAGCCTTGACATCTCCGAACAAAGTGTTTATATGCCTCATCTCTAAATTCTCTTTATTCTTACAGGAGACAAGAATCTAAATGACCTGGAGACTCTTCAGGAAATTGGATTAAAGTACCTCCCACATGAAGAGCTGTTCTGCTCGCAAATCTGGCAACAGGTTACAAAGGAGTTAACCCAGTGCCAAGATTCCATGGTCAATATTCAAGGAACTGGCTCCCAGTTGGAAAAACGAGGTGATGCACTCTATAAAGATGAAGAGTTTGGTAAAGGCTTTACTCAGAGTTCACATCTTCAGGTTCACCACAGAGACCACACGGGAGGAAAACCCTACCAGGGGGAGGAGCGTGAGAAAGGTTTCATTCAGCGCTGTCATCTTCAAACTAACCAGACAGCTCATGTAGGAGAGAAGCCCTATAAATGTGAAAAATGTGAAAACACCTTCCGTCGACTGTCAAGCCTTCAAGCCCATCAGAGGGTCCATGGCAGAGAGAAATCATACAAGTATGATACGTCATGTAAGGGTTTCAGACAGAGGTCATATCTTCACCATCATCAGAGAGTTCTCCCTGGAGAGAATCCACACAAATTCGAGGAATGTGGGAGGAATGTTGGGAAAAGCTCACATTGTCAAGCTCCTCTGATAGTCCACACATTAGAGAAACCTTATAAATGTGAGGAGTGTGGGCTGAGCTTCAGTCAGAGCTCGTATCTTCAAGTGCACCAGAGAGTCCACATGGGAAAGAAACCTTATAGATGTGAAGAGTGTGGGAAGGGCTTCAGTTGGCGTTCGCGACTACAGGCTCATCAGCGAATCCACACTGGAGAGAAACCATACAAATGTGAGGCATGTGGCAAGGGCTTTAGTTACAGCTCGCACCTTAACATTCATTGTAGAATCCATACAGGAGAGAAGCCCTATAAATGTGAAGAGTGTGGGAAAGGCTTCAGTGTAGGTTCACACCTTCAGGCCCATCAGGTAAGCCACACTGGAGAGAAACCTTACAAATGTGAGGAATGTGGGAAGGGCTTCTGTCGGGCCTCAAATCTTCTGGACCATCAGAGAGGCCACACTGGTGAGAAACCATATCAGTGTGATGCCTGTGGAAAGGGCTTCAGTCGTAGCTCAGATTTTAACATTCATTTCAGAGTCCATACAGGAGAGAAACCCTATAAATGTGAGGAATGTGGGAAAGGCTTCAGTCAGGCCTCAAATCTTCTGGCCCATCAAAGAGGCCACACTGGAGAAAAACCATACAAATGTGGTACATGTGGGAAGGGCTTCAGCCGGAGTTCAGATCTTAATGTTCATTGTAGAATCCACACCGGAGAGAAACCCTATAAATGCGAGAAGTGTGGTAAGGCCTTCAGCCAGTTCTCGAGCCTTCAGGTGCATCAAAGAGTCCACACGGGAGAGAAACCGTATCAGTGTGCAGAGTGTGGGAAGGGCTTCAGTGTGGGTTCACAGCTTCAAGCCCACCAGAGGTGCCATACTGGGGAGAAACCATACCAATGTGAGGAGTGTGGGAAAGGATTCTGTCGGGCGTCAAATTTTCTGGCTCATCGTGGAGTCCACACAGGAGAGAAGCCATACCGATGTGATGTGTGTGGTAAACGCTTCAGACAGAGATCCTATCTTCAAGCCCACCAGAGGGTCCACACCGGAGAGAAACCGTACAAATGTGAGGAGTGTGGTAAGGTCTTCAGTTGGAGCTCATACCTTCAAGCCCATCAGAGAGTTCACACTGGAGAAAAACCATATAAATGTGAGGAGTGTGGGAAGGGCTTCAGTTGGAGCTCAAGTCTTATAATTCATCAGCGAGTGCATGCTGATGATGAGGGTGATAAGGACTTGCCCTCCCCGGAGAATTCACACAGGAAAGAAGCTCCATAAAACTATATGTTTTAATACCTCAGATGGGTGCTGAAATAGTCTAATAATCAGACCTTTCCTAGAAGACAAAGCATTTATTTATAGAAGAGTCAGTATTTAGCCAGGGCTTGACATGTCACAGTGGTTGGGTGACCACACAGCAGAGAAGCCTCATGAGAATGGCGACATAAGGACTTCATTCAGAACCTTGACATTTAGCAAATACTACACAGAGGAGAGGCTTAGGAAGGATGAATCTGATCTGAAGTTAACCGAAGGGCTGAGATGGAAGTGCCAGAATCTCTTCCACTAGAATATAAACTCCAAGAGAGTAGGGATTTGTTGACTGCCAAATCTATTCAGTCTTCTCAGTGCCTCACACATGGTAGGTGTTCAGTAATGTTAAATGAGTGAAAGGGAGAACAGTCATATATGAAATTTTTATTCAGTTCTTCTCTAAAAATTTCTATGAAATGTACTTAGAAGAGGAATTCTGTAAGGCTTGGAGGACATTCAAGTTAAGACACATGGGCTCATTTTCCCAACCCTGCAGGTGCTGTGAACTAGTGTTTATCAACCTGCCAGTAGGTCCAAAATCACTTCAGTGGGTTGTGACCAGCATTTTTGTATTCTAATAGTTTATTGAGGTATAATTTGCATGCAGCAACATGCATAAATCTCAAGTTTACAGCTTTATGAATTTTGACAAATGTATACACTTATGTAATCATCACCAAAATCAATGTATACAATATTTCTATTAAACCAGAATGTTTCCTTGTGTACATTTCTCGTCATTCCCACCTCCAGTGGCAACAAGTATGATTGCTATACCTCACAGTTAAGTCTGTTCTTTGGTTCAATGTGTGTACTCTTTTATGTCTGGATTCTCTTGATCAAATTATGATCATTTTAGTAGATTGAGAGAAAGTAAGATTGACAGAATTCAGTGTCCATTCGTGATAAAAATTCCTCAGTGAGATGAAAGGCATCTATGAAAATTCTACAAGCTAACATTCTTTGTAAAATTATTATTAAGGAATAGTTTGTATACAGTAAAATCGACTCTTTGATGTATCATTCTGTGTTTTGGTAAATGCTTTCTATTGTATTACCACCACTGTAATCAAGACGTTTAACACTTCCAAGACCCCCTGCCCTGAAATTCCTCGGACTTTTGTAGTCAACCACTCTCCCTGTCACCTCTCCCTGCCTTTGGCAGCCATCTACCTGTTTTCTGTCTGCATAGTTTACTTTTTCTGGAATGTCCTAAAATGGAGTCATACAGTATATAATCTTTCAAGTCTGACTTCTTTCACTTTATGCTTCTGAGATTCATCAATCCTGATGTGTAGAACAGTAGTCATTCCTTCTATTGCTGAGTGGTATTCTGGTGTATGGATGTATCATGTTTGGTTTATCCATTTATGAATTCAAGGATATTCGAGTTTCCAGTTGTTAGTGATTATGAGGGAAACAGGGATAAATATTTGCAAAGAGGTCTGTGTGTCAACACATGTTTTCTTTGTGTTAGTAAATACTTAAGAGTGGAATTGTATAGTATGTTTAACTGTATGGAAAGCTAACAGCTCTAAAACGGATATACCAGTTTGCATTCCCACCATCAATGCATGTCAGGGTTTTGTTTTGTTTTTACCATTTCAGTAGGTTTATAGTGGCATCTCACTTTGATTTTAATTTGCATTTCCCTAATGACTATGTTGGGCATCTTTTATATCTGAATGTATCCTGTATGTATATCTATTTTCTTTGGGGAACTGTTTTCTTGTTCTTGATTTTTGAGAGTTTATGTGTTCTGGACATATGTCCTTTGTCAGTTACATGTTTTGCAAATATTTTATCTCTGTGTGTTTTGTGTTTTTGTTCTGTTGTCAGTATTTTTCACAGAGCAGAAATTTTGTTTTTGATGAAGTTCAGTTTTCTTCTTACATGGATTGTGCTTTTGGTTTCAAATCTAAGAACTCTGCCCAATCCAAGGTCACAAAGATTTTTCTCCTCCTTTTTTATCTAAAAGTTTTATGAAATGGTTTTACATTTAGTTCTATGATCCATGTGAGTTCATCTTTATAAAGTGTGAGGTCAAGGGCCATGTTTTTTGGCCTGTGAACATCTGATTAACCATCCTTTTAATTTCTGTTCGCCGTTATGGAAAATCTATTGATCAGACATGCGTGGGTCTATTTCTGGCCTCTGCTTGGTTCCATCAGTCTATGTGTCTATCATTTTGCCAATATGTAGCCTTATATAATAAGTCTTGAAATGAGATAGTATGAGTCTTCCAACTCCATTCTTTTTCTTTTTTAAACATTTTATTTATTTATTTATTTGAGAGATACACAGTGAGAGAGGGAACACAAGCAGGGGGAGTGGGAAAGGGAGAAGCAGGCTTCCCGCTGAGCAGGGAGCCTGATGTGGGGCTGGATCCCAGGACCCTGGGATCATGACCTGAGCCAAAGGCAGATGCCTAACGACTGATCCACCCAGGCACCCCTCCATTCTTCTTTTTCAAAATATTTTGGCTATTTTAATTAGTTTACTTTTACATAATTTTTAGAATAAGTTTTGTGATTTTTAAAAATAAACTCATTGCTGGAAATTTTGTTGGGATTGCATTGAATATATACAGATGACTTTAGGTAGACTTAGCATCTTAGCAATCTTGAATATTCTAAGCCACAGACACAGAATATCTGCCTATTTGTTTAGGACCCCTCTAATTTCTTCAATCAGTAATTTGTAGTTTTCAGCACATAGATTCTGCACATATTTTATTAGATTTATACCTAAGTACTCTGTTTTTTGGTGCTAAATTAAGTGGTACTATTTTCAAATTTCAATTTCCAATTGTTTATTGCTAGTATATAAAAATGCAGTTGATTGTTCTATGTATCTTATAATTTTGCCAAACTTGCATATTAGTTAAAAGTTGCCATTCTGTGTAGATTCCTTGGGATTTTCTGTGTAGATAAGCATGTCATCTGCAAAAAGCTTTATTTTTCCATGCCAATTGATGTACATGTTACAGCAACTTCACTGTGATGTGAAGAAGCACCCCCACCAACGTTAGGTTTGGGTCGCAAAACTCATGATGGTAGTCGTTTGGGATGATCAAAGGTAGAGGGGATAGCTGTCCAGAAGGCCCAGAACAGAAAGAATGGTCAATGTTCAGGTATTTCATACAGTGGAAGTCCTCCCTGAACAAGTTTAAAAAATGGTGGGAGGTTGCACTTTGGGAGTAGTAGGTGAAACTTAGCAGAATTGTGAAGGAGGCAGTGGACATGGGCAGGAGATGAAGCTTATAAGTTGCTGACACTAAATCACATGTCCAAGTTTTTTTCCTATGGTCTTCACAATTCACTCCTGACATGTGGATTAGCATGGCAACCTCCAGGTATCCCTGTAGATAAACTGGCATTTGAGAGGGCACATTTGCAAAGTTGACCTACAATAATTAGGTCAATAATTATTATGAAAGCTTTATGAAAGATAATGTGGGGCCAGATAATAAAAATCCAGGTAGAGGAAGGATCCAAGAGAAGAAATCAATGGGGATTCAAGAAATCTCTTGGAGTATTATAATAACTTGGCAAAATCATTGACTATTTTGATTTGTTTTATCTATTGAACTATTTTAGAGACTTTTACTATATTATTGACCTACATACAGCCAGAGTTTCCCTTCAAGGATCTGCATTGAGATGCCAGTGCAATGCCTACAGCACCTACAGAACTTTCTCTCTTACTCTTTTATAAAGATTTTATTTATTTGAGAGAGAGCATATGAGAGGGGGGAGGGTCAGAGGGAGAAGCGGACTCCCTGCTCAGGGAGTCCGATGAGGGAATTGATCCTGGGACTCCAGGATCATGACCTGAGCCGAAGGCAGTCGCTTAACCAACTGAGCCACCCAGGTACGCCTGAACTTTCTTATTAAAGGCTTCTAAATCGGGCACCTGGGTGGCTCAGTTGGTTAAGCAACTGCCTTCGGCTCAGGTCATGATCCTGGAGTCCCAGGATCGAGTCCCGGATCGGGCTCCCTGCTCAGCAGGGAGTCTGCTTCTCCCTCTGACCCTCCACCCTCTCATGCTGTCTCTCTGTCATTCTCTCTCTCTCAATAAAATAAATAAAAATCTTAAAAAAAAAAAAAAGGCTTCTAAATTTTGGGCTTTTTGATATATGTGGTCTGCCAGGAGTTGTGACATTGTTTGGCTGGCCTCTAGGCGCTAAGTCTGTGCTACAGAACTGAAAAGACCCAGACTTGTGCCTATTATACCAAAAATTGAGGTATATATAAAATGTGGTATATAAAAAATGAGGCCTAATTTATAATAGATTTAAAAGATAGAGCCTGTGTGTACCCTGTTGTGGGTACATTAGTGTATACATAAGGGGGGCACACTTTCAATAGCTGTATAGAACTGCAATTGTTAGAGGCTAGGAAGGGCAAGGGATTTGTGAAGGGAAAGATAATGAGGAAGAGCCTGGTGAGGTTCAGGAAGTGCTGGGGGAAGTAAAGGAACTGGAGGGTGACCAAAGAGGATAGTGAGTGGTTAATACGGATAGCAGAGACCTCCAAGGGGGTGGGGATTAGTTGTATAAGTGGTTACCCAAGCTGGGGTGCCTAGTCCAGCATTGTTGGAGTTCTATCTTTTGGGTAGCATCTTAACTGTTTTATAGCTCTTATCCAGCAAGTGGAGGAAAGTAGGAAGTGGTGTGGTGATGTGGGAATAGTGAGAGTGTAGCATGGATTGTTGAACAAAAGGATTGGAGCTGATGTGGTTGTGGTGGTCATAGTGGGGAGTGGTGTGGGAGCAGTTACCATGTCCAGATCCCAGCTGTTAAGCATGGAAGGAGGTGGAGTTTTAGACTTGTATAGGGCTAATTTCACCCAAAGGTGAAATTAAGTGGTGAGGCACCAGTGTATATAAATTGGCTAATTTGCAGGGTGCTATCTTGCAACAAAAGGGCAACACAGGAAGAAGGAAAAGAATGGTTCAAGCACAAATTTAAATAATTTACTTTGTGTTCCTTGATGCACTGGAGTAGGTAATAGGCAATAGTAGGTCCCCATGTGCTTCATTAGGACCTGAGTGTGTTTAGGTAGGTAAGGTCCTGGCAATAAGCTTTAGTTTCTTGCAGTGTGCCTACATTGTATAAAGGAGGAGAATATGGAGGTTGCAGAGATACACATAAGCAGAGAAATCGGGAGCTTCAGTTAAGTTGCCTGTGATAATATTGGCATTGGCTAGGTCAGGAACAAAGTGTAAGCAAGGCTACACAGATTGAATCTTTGGGAATAAGGCAGAAGGTGAGTGATTTTAAAAAGGGCAGTTGGGAGGTTATAGTGGCCACAAAAGGGGGTACGAATTGGTTGGGGAAACTGTATGTTGGACTTGGAGCAGGGTGGATGTCAGGATTTTTATTTGATGGGCTGTGGCATGAAATTGTGATCGAATATCTTGAGTCAGCATCAAAGTTGGAACTGTTGGTTGTGCTGGTTATCATTTGGGATGCTTTGGTCTCTTGGGCTGAGATCCTCATCCCTGAGCTGATGGTTGTTGTTCTCACTGTCCTCTGTGATTGACTTGTGGATAGTGCCTGTAAGGACCCTGTGTAGTAGATGCTGGAAACTCCTAATGAGTCTGGGGCTAACACCCAAGACCTCAAGGCAAAGTTCTACAGTTGAGAAATTATTGCAAGAGTGACTGACGATCCAGGGATGCTCTGGGGCACATTGGCAATATCAGGCGACCCCATAGGCATCAG